GAACAGAGACCTTTGTTAGTCGACCCCGGAATATCCAGCTTATTCCACCACAACATCGCCGACCATTCTGACAGCGAGCAGACAAACATTAGCCACATAGCAAATATCAAACGGTACCTCGCTAATGTCATGACTTGGATCGTCAGATATGGTCAACATCTGAACATAATGGATGGGTAGGATGATTGCCCACTGGCTTAGGAAGGGGATTTGAATAATTTGTGAGATTTCAGTTGCTATGCGCCACTGTCTCATCGTAGACCTTTAGGGATAGGGAAGACGTACCGAAGATGGGGAAAATGCCTGGGAAATGGGGAAATCGTTGTCTATCTGATAACGATATAGCTTCTCCTTTTCACGTGACACATCATAACCAGCATCTATGGAACATTAGCAGATGATAATTATGATACTTCATGCTCAGTCACAATGTTTCTGAAATTGATAGACTTCTCTGACGGCGTTCCATGACAACAGCGTTAATGGCATATTCGGTATGACTTTGGTAATGCTGACAATGACAATGAGTTCTTCGTGATCCGTTACGACGCGCTGCACGCGGCTAACTCCACGAGAACTCTGCATTAACGTCGCCACACTCCGATAAAATTTCCAAACGAAGCATCAGCTTCAGCTTATCCCCATCCCCATTATTAGCACAGGCCCGTAATGAGCAGCTAATCATTAGACTCTTGTAAGCTGACTCACAGAGCGGATGCTTAGTATAATGACGTCAGTGGTGTTCGTTGGTGGATTTTATGACGTCACTGGTTTCAAGAGCCGCCGGCGACTATGGTCAGCCGACCCAGATGTGTGGGTTAAAGCCGGTGTCAAGGTCTGGTCGGGTGCGAGAGGTGATCAAAGGTTAATCACATAATGCGACTTAAAAGCGCCGTACGCGACAGCGAAAGATATGGACTATTGAGATGTGCTTATTGGTGGGCTCTTAGAATGAGTGAATGGAAGTTATTGCGAGGTAACTTTTGCATAACTCATTCATGAGTGTGCTGTTGCTCGGCGGATCTAACGGTATTCAACGTAGTCAAGAGAACAGGTATGAAATACACGTATAGGTACCTATATACCTGTAGCGAAGGTGTTTACGAGAAAAAGAGATGAAGATCACAGCGCAAGCCAAAACTCTAAAAAAATGCTGTTAGCATTGGTTGCTAGGCATAAGCGCGGGAGCCGGGGGGGGGGGGGGCAGTGGGGGCAGCTTGCCCCCCCCAACTCTGGGGCCGTGGGGGCGATGCCCCCACAGCTTTGAGACGGAATACCAAACTTTTTTGGCAAATGTTTTTTTTTTTGTTGAAAAAGCGAAGGGATGAAAAATAAGTGGCCTAAAACCGGTGAGAAACTTGATTTGGGGGTACCCTAGGTTGATCTCTATTATGGTGTGTCCCCCCAGTCTGAACGTAGTTCCCGCACCCCTGTTGCTAGGGTTCTAAAAAATCGCATTTTCACGCAGATAGCAATTAGCAACAGCACTTAAGCTGTCGCTAGCTGTTGCGAGCTCTGGCTTTTAGGTGCACGAGCCAATCAGGTCAAACGTGACTGATCCAGTCAATCAGGCGTACCGACACGCAACCGTCCCTCTTCCGCCCGCCTCTGCTGTCGCGGCGATTTGAGTCCAAACACCGTAACTAATGGCAACCGGCTCGGACAGCCGTTAGGCACGTGAGCATGTGATGCAACAGTTGCTGAACAGAAGACTGAACGAGTGTCATCGAGTCATCTCGCATGTGTCGTGCCGGCGTTAACCTGATATGACACGCTGGGTCATGAGATGACCCGCTGGGGTTTGACACACGGCACATGATGAGCTGACAATGACAGGTTGACGGGCAGCCTCCGGAGGTCGATGGATATTGGATATAGTCTGTTCCATGTCAAGTTTGCGGCCGAACTGCCCTGCCGAAAGTAGTGCGTGATTTTTGTACACACACTCTCACATTCAAATTACGCAACTTACTGAATGGAGGAGAGATCAGAGAACTGCCGAAAAAAAACTCCGACCGCAATCTTGGTATGGAACAGACTATAGTGAACTACACACGCTGTTTTATGTAGGTTCTTTTAGCGTCTCAATGCACGCCACGACAGTATGTCTAATGGCATTGTGCAGAGTAAAACTTTGTTCACAGTCTTATCATTTAGACTTCGGATGGAACCATACCAACCAATTCTCAACCATAAATATGTATTTATAAACGATCCCGGATGGCTGAAGAAAGCCAGCTAAAACGCTGACCGTCCGCATTGATAAGCTATCTTAGATCGGTTGGGCAATTATCAGCCTAATATAGGATATTTATGTGACAGACAAGTTGTGCTTATCCGTGATGAGAGCGACCAAACAGATGCCCAAACCGGACACACAGGAGACACACCTGGGTGCAAAGGCATACCAGGCACGTCTAATGCGCTGGAAACTGGTAACGGAAAGTATGGAGTGAATAGCAATGATCGTAACTCACAAATCTCAACTTTAAGTGACTTTAGCTTACCCACGCCTACCTAGCTGCATGCGACGAAGAGATTCTTTACAGGTATCGCTCACCGGTGATGAATATGATCTATCTCCATCTCTCTTTTATTTCCTCCCTGCCTTTCATCTACCTAGCCCTTTATCCTTTTCATATACCTATACCTATACCTCCTTCCCTCTCTTCTCAGCCTTCCTGCTCTTCGTCTCTCTCTCTCTCTCTCTCTCTCTCTCTCTCTCTCTCTCTCTCTCTCTCTCTCTCTCTCTCTCTCTCTCTCTCTCTCTCTCTCTCTCTCTCTCTCTCTCTCTCTCTCTCGACTCTCTCATATCCGTCTCCATCCCTTCCCTTCTCTCCTGATCTCTTCCCTCTCACTTAATGTGCCATCAGCATTCCCTGCCATACCCTCGGCATCCTAAAAGCGGCATACCTCCCGACCAAACACTGATCCATGACCCGTCCATAGTCTGCCCAGCGTAACGGGTGGGCATGGCTTATTGTTGAGCGGGGAACAGACGGACCCCACACAACTTCTGGGAACTGTAGGTCCGCTCCAGCACTGAGCACTAAGACGGCTATTGATGACGGCATACCGGGGGCGGACAGGTAGGGGAGAGGCGTAGAGAGGGATGGAAACCGACAGAGGGAGGCGTACGGGGGAGGAGACGCGAGTGACTATAAGAGTGGGTGACTTACAGGAAGAGCGGGAGAAAGGGGAGATGGAGAGAGAGAGAGAGAGAGAGAGAGAGAGAGAGAGAGAGAGAGAGAGAGAGAGAGAGAGAGAGAGGGAGAGAGGAGAGAGACCGATATAGAAAGAGAGGAGAATATTATCTTCGGACAGAGTGGAACATTTCCGACAATTTTCCTTCCTGGAGTCGCATGGGAGAAAGGGAGTCTCCGTTGTTCTTTTTCTTGGCATCAACATCAACCCTAAATCTGCAGGAGAGGGTCATATGAGCCGCATATACGACTTTTACAACCACATAACATCAAGAACCGCAGCGGATAATACGATATTGCAACTGGCCGGTTCAACCCACAGCATGTCTCGGCGGGGTCCATAAATCTATCGACTGTGAGACAAGTGTCTATAGAAAGGAGACTGAAGTTACCGTTACAGCAACAGGACATGTAGCTCGACAGTGGTCATGCAAGGATCGCTCATATTTGTTGTCAGATGAGTAAGCACGATGGATTGATAATGACATATCGACCACCAGCTGAATTGATAACGGTTGCATTGGTGCCGCTATTTTTTAATCGAAATACCTGATTGCACTGCAAAGGCGAATTCGAACGCATTTGGGCAAAAATGAAGCTTTTCACTTCTCAAGCATCATTTTCCAGCTGGTAAATCGATTTGAAAGGTCTCAGGCTGTCCACGAATATGAGTATGTTTTTGTATGGTTGCGTTTGACCTTCCTTCTCCAGCCGATTCTCTTACACTGCATCAGAAATATACCCTGTTATTGGCCCAAGCTATCAAACATGATTTGAGCACTCTTCTAAGCCGCTAGAAGTTGGGTGTATTGGTGATCATTTGCAGCAATAACTACGACATAAACAAGCCAAGGCCATTCGGCTTTAGCCACATCATCCTGAGAAATGTTTTCGAGATCTGGTCAATCGACAGCAGTGTGCACTTAGGCGTTAGCATATCAGCGTTCGCGGTGTTTTATGACGTGACCTGTATATTTTCAGACTGTTTTTCACTGAAACTCAGTCAGAAGCTGGCTTATGCCGTTCTAAATTCGTGGATATTATTCGAAGACACTGAAACAGGCACCAAAAGAAATTTGAAAAAGAATCACAGCCCGATGTGGCAAGACAGCGGCAAAATACTTACACCACTTTCCCGCTACAAGAATTGTTGACTGCCTAGGCATTATGTGACGTAAGAGTAACTATCGGTATCCATTATATTACAGTTAGAGATAATTATAGCAACACAGCATATGCCTACTTGCCTAGTGCGTAATTCGGTCACTACGTTCCAAAGTAGCTAGACGAGAAGGAATAAGTACAGCTAAGCTGCTAGGATTATTTCAGCGCTCAACAGCTCAGACGGGCCACTTACTATCACATGATCTGGCTAATGTACGGGATCCCTAAGTGAGCACATATTATCCTGACGCCCTACGTGAAACGGGATTTACCCTCCCTGATAGCGTTCAGGGATTAATTAAAGGTGCGCTCAGACAGAACACACATTATTGGATTCAGACAATTGAAGCACCGGACTCATTTTCCACTGCGAATAGGCCAATGGAAGGACGGAGGCAATGTAGCTATCTGCTCTACCTCTACGAATAACTAACTATTCAACATCAATCTCTTCAATATCAACAAAAACAAATAATCACAGCTAATTTCGCCATCTCGGAAAAAACACATCTGAGTCGTCAAGGTGTTCTGAATCAGCCCTTAATACGACACACAAATAACATCGAAACCTTTTCCAGAATTGCCAAACAAGTGGCTGACATTAATCTAACACTTTCCAACCTTTTCTTTCAGATGTTGAGTCCGTGTCAGCCGAGAGCCCTGCCGGGCTCAGGAGAGCCCTCTCTATCGGCTCGGATCTAGCATCCGGACGACTGGCACAGCTGGTGACATCTAGCACCGACCTCGACAACTTGGTCGACAGTGTCAAACAGACCATGAAGGACGTGGCCGCAGAGGGCGTGGAAGTGGACGCCTCGTGGATCTCCAGCTCAAAGGACAAACGCAATTTGGAGAAACTCCTCAAGGTATGGAGCGTAAGGTCGGCTTGAGAAGGATCCGAACATTTCAACGGATGACAAAAATAATAAATGGCTGTGATGGTGGAAACTTCTTCAATGTTCCATGCTAACTTCTGAAAATATCCAAGGAAACAAGTACCTACCCTCCGTAGGCAGCATAAGTTTCCCATTCTCATTTGGTTATTTACCTCTTTCTCTCATTTCTTCATTCCTACCATTCTCACTCTTCCCTTCCCTACTGTTCTCAGGCACTCAGTCCGCTGACCACAGACCAGCTACTCGTCCGACTTCCGGCGGAGGCCAATCAGCTGACTGCGATCGGTGACCTCAGCGACCTCAGTCAGCTGACCGACCGACTGATACTGGCCACGCCCCCGGCTGAGTCACGTGACCGGCCAGAGACGGCTCAGCTGGCGCCTCTGATGGGAGACGGAGCGCAGGCGGAAAGTGTGGTAAGTGGGGAGGAGCAGGATGCTGGCATGGGCAATGGGCGTTAATCATAACGTGGAGAAGGTCAGGATGGAGCGAATGGAACATGCGTAGTGAAAGACGCCGCTGAGCATGGAAAAGCAAAAATAAACTTGCTACAGCTTATGATATTCAGCTTACCAGACCCAGCTGTCACTTCTTCCAGGCGTCTTCTAGTCCGCACCCACTTTTTCGCATCTGACCCAATGTTTGACATCGTACAACAGGTCCCGTTGCACCAGGAAGATTCACTAAATAGTCTCATTTGTCTCCGTCAGGATGCGCTGCTGGACGTCCTCATCTCGCTGGGAGCTCCAGCGGAGAAGCTGGTGATGACGATACCCTCCTACGGCTACATGTACCAGTTGCAGCAGACTCACGTCACATCCCCCGGCTCGCCCGCCCTGCCTGGAACCGAAAAACTGTCCAGGAAGGAGGTGAGTGTGCTTCATTTCGTGTGGAATCAAGAGATGGTGAGAAATGCCTTTGGCATATATTTGACAGCTAGTTTTGGGATATCACGGAAGCCCAACGAAGCCTTTTAGCGTCGAATGGTCAATCACAAAGAGGCTGAGATTTATCAAGAGAAACATTTCCACCTATGTTTTAGGCACCAGACCTCCAAAACTTCTTCGAAACCAATGTAAAACGAGAGTAACGACCGAGCCTCAATCACCATCAACATACACGTAACCTCACATATGACCTCACCACAGTCTTTGCCATAGCTGCCGTTGCACTTCCATCCTCAACCGATATCCATGCCCCTATCATCCGATAACTCGCATACCTCTCCAATCTACCCCACGTCACTTTCACATCGAACCACTTCACGGCACCTCATCACATAGGTACGATTCTCTCCCCGCAGATGTGCAACATGTTCACGCCGGACTGGCTGGAGGATCGTAACGACGATATGACGGCGCCATACGCCTACCACTATCTGTCCTGGGTGGCTTACGAAGACGAGCTCAGCGTCGCAGTCAAGGTAAGACGGGAGAGCGTGACAAACGGTATGGTCTGTTTATTTGAATCACAGCTGCTGGCTTGAGTGCGAAGATGTTTCCTAAAAGTTTCAGCTACAAAGCTATTACAGGGTGTCTCAAAAGTTCGTTCACACATTTCCCATGCCAATAAAGCATATAAGAACCGGTCAAAAGTATAAGGTTTTGGTGTCTGTGTGTACACTAGACAAATATGCATGCTTTGACAACTGATTAAGAAGGTTGGAAACCAACCCCTTTGCTGTATCTCCAAAAATATTTGCCCATACCGATTTTTGTTGCTCCGTCAGCTGCCGGAGGCTGATAAAAGGTTACCAGCTTTCAAGCTCTTGCAGGGGAATCCCCTGCAGTTTCTGCGTCGGATTTAGTTTTGACTAGCTCCCCGGCAACATCTGATTTTCCCTGAAAGCCGACAGCTTGCATCGACACCATTCTTGAGTATTTTGTAGGCATTCTCTGGCGCTAACTCCTTCATGAATGACTGGCGCCGACATCCCAAGCGCCATTTTCCTTTTCAAAACGACCCCAGTCCTGAACGAAGGGGAAGTGCCAGGAGTAAATTTTTCGCATCATATGGTAGCAGAATGTGTCGGACGTCTGTTTCTCAGACACATTGTGCAAATTTTGCAAATTCCAAGCGCTCGTCATTCCCCATGCCAAGACCTTCGCTCGGTTGCGGAGTGTTTTCCTCGGGAGATGTTCTGCTTTGTTAACGGCCCAAACCTGTCCATCGTGTGGTTTTATCGGGATTTTGTGTTTAAAAGAAAATTATTCGCTGCAGATCTGCCTCTTAAAACTTCGTTAGATAAAATTTTACAATAACTGACACTTTTGGAGGGTCAGGTGTCCTTGGCATTGACGATTTTTGTGTTATTGTCCCCAAAAATTAGCGTTATAGATATTATAAACAATTTTAAATTATAATTTGTCTTTATTTTACGATGACCTGCACTTTTTGAAAATGGGTAACCTCTGTCTGCGACCTTCTTGCCAGTTTTCAATAGTTATGACCGCATTTTCAGCTACTTTCCGGAACACGAGTCTGCTGTCGTGCGAGGGTCGTTCAAAACGCCGTTAGTCTCGCATGGTTTCGTCCTTCAAAAATTTTAGCCACCGTTTTTATGAGATGATCATCATGTTGCACTCATCCTCGCCGACACTTAGCCATGTGTCATTTCCGACTTAACCATTCTCATTACTCCTGAAACAGAGAGTTTCACAACATACCCGACTTTGCAACCTACATTTTCGTGCCTGACCCATGGTCAGAGGTGAACCCTTTTTGTGAGCTCATGAAGGGTCGAATGCACTTGAAAACAATGAGACTGCTTGAGGAAGGTTGTCACCAATGCCCATGCAAAATTTCGACTGTTAATTTCTTGTTGATTCAGAATTATTGACAAAAAAGCATGGCTGGTACCTGTGAACGAACTTTTGAGACACCCTGTACATAACGCAAATACTTTCAAACTATTTTCTTCTCCAGTAATTCGTCTCGACGCTATCCGTTTACCTCCGCCTCACTTCCACTCAATCATCGCTCACGACTCGTTGTTGCCTTCACAGACCCAATATGCCGCTCTGCGTGGTCTCGGTGGTATCGCTCTGGACTCCATCGACAATGACGCCGACTGCGGCGAAGATCGACTTTCCGAGACTGCCGCTGGATGGCAGCACCGTCTTGCCGACCTCTCCAGCGACGAGCTGCAGGCTGAGCTTCAGGAACTCCTCGCGCTTGACGAGGAGAGCGTCACACCGAAAGAGGCCGATTTCCGATCACCAGGATGGAGAGCGCTCCGCGCTGGGGCAGGGCCCGTGCGAGAGGTCACCAGGGTGTCCTCCTGTCGGGACCAGGGGTACTTCAGGAGCAACGTTCGCTGCGGGGAGTACCGAAGGTGCTTGAAAGACTCCGATGGCGAGGGTGGTCTGGAGCTGCACTACCGCTGTCCTTCCGGATGGCTGTTTGATGACAGGTGAGATAAGAAGCTGATTGGAAGTGAAGATATAAGTGACAGAAAGGAATGACTGGGTTCCATGGATATTTGAATTAGCAGCAGATGCATTTACCCTACCCTGCATGTATTAACATCTATTTGCCAAACTGAATAAGAAAGCCACGTTTCGCCTGGGTCACACTTTGCTCTTTGCTTTCTCAGGTGGGAAATCTGCACCTGGCCGTCAGCCACCGAGCCCTGCCAGGATGACGAGGACTCTGACACCGAAGTACCGGCAGTGGCCCGGTCAGACGCCCCCTGCCTCGACGATGGGTACTTCGCCGATCCCACCAACTGCAAGTACTTCTACCTTTGTCGCGACTACTACGGAAACGGCACGTTCACTAAGTTCGAGTTCAAGTGCCCGTACGGACTCGGATACCACGAGGAGAGCCTGACGTGCACCTGGGCCTGGCTGGTCCCGCACTGCGAGGCTGCCGTCACCGTTGCACCGCCGATGGCCGACGGCAAGCTTCCGCGCGAGCTGCGTACCATCGCAAGCGTGGCCGAGGCACCCACTGAGCTGAGACGTTTCACAGACGAGCTTGGCGAGTTCGAGCGACGTCACGACAAGCCGGACTCGCCGGCCGGAAGGCACGCATCGCTGAGTGAGAACGGATTCGTGGCGGCCATCGTCAGCTCGGTGGGTTCCATGCTGTCCAGCGCCTGGTCAGCGCTGACCGGAGCGTCGCTGAACGTGGAGTCACGTGCTGAGGGAGACCAACAGGTGCTGTCCAGAAAGAAACGCGGCTACTCCTATCTGCCACCGACGATAGAGTTTGAAGAGGGACCCAAGAGTGTCGGACAGGAGGTGCCAGCGACGAAAACGGGCGCCGGAGGCATCTTCAGTCTGCCGTCCGAACCTGCAGTTGGTCCAACAGCTGGCGCTAGAACACCATCGAGAGAGGGAGCTGGGCCAGCGAGCATCTTCAATGTGCCCTCGCTGCCTGGAGCTAGTCCTGATGAAGCGCTCACAGTGTCTTCCTTACCAGACCCTGGCAAAACGGACATTGAAGTGCCTTCGATATCCGTACCTGGTCCAGCTGGCATCGCCGAGGCACCTTCTCCAGTTGGAGTCACACCAACGGAGGAGTCGAAACAGCCAACGCGAGCAGGCGCTGGCCCGGCGGATACTTTCAGGGGTCCGTCTCTAATCGCTGCTGGTCAAGAACCTGGCATACAAGACACCGGGATTTTCGGAACATCTGGAACATCGACCACTGGCATACAACCCGCCACAACAGACGCTGGAAGACGACCTGGTAGCGTGGACTCTTCGCGGAGACCCGGAACAGGCGTTTCAGGAAGGCCTGGAAGTCTAGAATCAACAGGAGCTAGTGGGATTTCAGGAAGACCAGACACACAAGGAATAAGTGGCGTCCCAAGTACACCAGGAACAGGCGGGGGTCAAAGCCGACCTGGACGACCAGGAACATCAGAAATCAGCGGAGTTTCAGGAAAGCCAGGAACACCAGGAACAAGCGGGATTCTAGGCCGCCCTAGGCGACCAGGAACAACTGGAGCTGGTACGATTTCAGGAAGACCAGGAACACAAGGAACAAGTGGGACTCTAGGAAGGGCAGGGACACCGGGAACAGCTGGGACTCCAGACCGGCCAGGAACAGCAGGAACTGGCGGGACTCCTGGAACACCAGGAACAAGCGGGAATCTAGGCCGTCCTGGGCGACCAGGAACACCAGGAACTGGCGGGATTTCAGGAACACCAGGAACAACAGGAACAAGCGAGACTCTAGGAACGCCAGGGACACCGGGAACAGATGGGACTCCAGGCCGACCAGGAAGGCCAGGAACACCAGGGATGGGTGGAACTCCAGGAACACCAGGAACAAGCGGGACCTTAGGCCGTCCTAGGCGACCAGGAACACCAGGAACTGGCGGGATTTCAGGAAGGCCAGGAAAACCAGGAACAAGCGGGACTCTAGGAACGCCAGGGACACCGGGAACAGGTGGGACTCCAGGCCGACCAGGAAGACCAGGAACAGCGGGAACTGGTGGGACTCCAGGAAGGCCAGGAACAAGCGGGACTCTAGGCCGTCCTGGGCGACCAGGAACTGGCCGGATTTCAGGAAGGCCAGGAACATCAGGAACAAGCGGGACTCTAGGCCGACCGGGACTACCAGGAACACCAGGAATTGGCGGGATTTCAGGAAGACCAGAAACACAAGGAACAAGTGGGACTCCAGGAAGGCCAGGAACACCTGGAACAGGTGGGACGCCAGGCCGACCAGGAAGGCCAGGAACAGCCGGAACTGGTGGGACTCCAGATAGCCCAGGAACAACAAGAACTACTGGGGCTTCAGGGAGACCAGGAACGCCAGGTACATCGCCCGGACCAGACGTGGCAGGACAAGTTGGAGGCAGTGGTCCAGACGGAGGATTTCCCGAAGGTCAGGCTGGACCTAGTGGTAGTTCCCCACAGTATCCTTCAGGATCATCTGGTCCCCTTGGAAGGCCAGAAGCTGGCGAGGGATCTGGAAGACCTGGATTCGGTGGCGGATCCGGGAAACCAGGATCGGGTGATGGAGCGGGAAGACCTGGCTTTGGTATAGGATCTGGAGGCCAAGGTGGAGGGGATGGTTCTGGAACTCCTGGAGCTGGCGAGGGACCTGGATCGTCCGGTACTGTTGGGCGGCCTGGATCACCGGGTACTGGTGGACGTCCTGGAAGACCTGGCAGCCCCGGCACTCTGGGAAGACCGGGCACAGTTGGGACAGCAGGAAGAACCGGAACAGGTGGAACACGCGGAAGACCTGGAACGGGTGGAACTGCAGGAAGACCTGGCACAGGGTCTGGAAGACCGGGAGGCGCTGGTGGACCTGGAGGAGTTGGGGGACAGAGAGGCAGCAGCGGACCGGACGGTGGCGTAGGACCTGATGGCGGATTTCCCCAAGGAAGCCGGGGTCCAGACGGGTCGCGAACTTCACCAACATACCCCTCAGGAGATGGTGCAGGCTCTCGAGGAAGTGGGTCTGGAAGCCCAGGATCAGGTGGCGGAACTGGAACGCCTGGAACTGGCGGCGGAGCTGGAAGACCTGGAACTGGTGGCGGATCTGGAGGCCCTGGAACAGGAGCTGGAGCTGGAGGGCCTGGAAGTGGCGAAGGTCCTGGATCACCAGGTACTGGTGGGCCGCCTGGATCACCAGGTACTGGTGGACGTCCTGGAAGACCTGGTAGCCCTGGCACTCTGGGAAGACCTGGCACAGTTGGAACAGCAGGAAGACCCGGAACAGGAGGAACACGCGGAAGACCTGGAACAGGTGGAACTGCAGGAAGACCCGGAATAGGAGGAACACGCGGAAGACCTGGAACAGGTGGAACTGCAGGAAGACCTGGAACAGGATCCGGAAGACCGGGAGGCGCTGGTGGATCTGGAGGAGTTGGGGGACAGAGAGGCAGCAGCGGACCGGACGGTGGCGTAGGACCTGATGGCGGATTTCCCCAAGGAAGCCGGGGTCCAGACGGGTCGCGAACTCCACCAACATACCCCTCAGGAGATGGTGCAGGCTCTCGAGGAAGTGGATCTGGAGGAGGGTCTGGGAGTCCAGGATCAGGTGGCGGAACTGGAACGCCTGGAACTGGCGGCGGAGCTGGAAGACCTGGAACTGGTGGCGGATCTGGAGGCCCTGGAACAGGAGCTGGAGGGCCTGGAGGTGGCGAAGGTCCTGGATCACCAGGTACTGGTGGACGTCCTGGAAGACCTGGCAGCCCTGGCACTCTGGGAAGACCTGGCACAGTTGGAACAGCAGGAAGACCCGGAACAGGAGGAACACGCGGAAGACCTGGAACAGGTGGAACTGTAGGAAGACCCGGAATAGGAGGAACACGCGGAAGACCTGGAACAGGTGGAACTGCAGGAAGACCTGGAACAGGATCCGGAAGGCCGGGAGGCGCTGGTGGATCTGGAGGAGTTGGGGGACAGAGAGGCAGCAGCGGACCGGACGGTGGCGTAGGACCTGATGGCGGATTTCCCCAAGGAAGCCGGGGTCCAGACGGGTCGCGAACTTCACCAACATACCCCTCAGGAGATGGTGCAGGCTCTCGAGGAAGTGGATCTGGAGGAGGGTCTGGAAGCCCAGGATCAGGTGGCGGACCTGGAACGCCTGGAACTGGCGGCGGAGCTGGAAGACCTGGAACTGGTGGCGGATCTGGAGGCCCTGGAACAGGAGCTGGAGCTGGAGGGCCTGGAAGTGGCGAAGGTCCTGGATCACCAGGTACTGGTGGGCCGCCTGGATCACCAGGTACTGGTGGACGTCCTGGAAGACCTGGTAGCCCTGGCACTCTGGGAAGACCTGGCACAGTTGGAACAGCAGGAAGACCCGGAACAGGAGGAACACGCGGAAGACCTGGAACAGGTGGAACTGCAGGAAGACCCGGAATAGGAGGAACACGCGGAAGACCTGGAACAGGTGGAACTGCAGGAAGACCTGGAACAGGATCCGGAAGACCGGGAGGCGCTGGTGGATCTGGAGGAGTTGGGGGACAGAGAGGCAGCAGCGGACCGGACGGTGGCGTAGGACCTGATGGCGGATTTCCCCAAGGAAGCCGGGGTCCAGACGGGTCGCGAACTCCACCAACATACCCCTCAGGAGATGGTGCAGGCTCTCGAGGAAGTGGATCTGGAGGAGGGTCTGGGAGCCCAGGATCAGGTGGCGGAACTGGAACGCCTGGAACTGGCGGCGGAGCTGGAAGACCTGGAACTGGTGGCGGATCTGGAGGCCCTGGAACAGGAGCTGGAGCTGGAGGGCCTGGAGGTGGCGAAGGTCCTGGATCACCAGGTACTGGTGGACGTCCTGGAAGACCTGGCAGCCCTGGCACTCTGAGAAGACCTGGCACAGTTGGAACAGCAGGAAGACCCGGAACAGGAGGAACACGCGGAAGACCTGGAACAGGTGGAACTGCAGGAAGACCCGGAATAGGAGGAACACGCGGAAGACCTGGAACAGGTGGAACTGCAGGAAGACCTGGAACAGGATCCGGAAGGCCGGGAGGCGCTGGTGGATCTGGAGGAGTTGGGGGACAGAGAGGCAGCAGCGGACCGGACGGTGGCGTAGGACCTGATGGCGGATTTCCCCAAGGAAGCCGGGGTCCAGACGGGTCGCGAACTTCACCAACATACCCCTCAGGAGATGGTGCAGGCTCTCGAGGAAGTGGATCTGGAGGAGGGTCTGGAAGCCCAGGATCAGGTGGCGGACCTGGAACGCCTGGAACTGGCGGCGGAGCTGGAAGACCTGGAACTGGTGGCGGATCCGGAGGCCCTGGAACAGGAGCTGGATCTGGAGGGCCTAGAGGTGGCGACGGACCTGGATCACCAGGTACTGGTGGGCAGCCTGGATCACCAGGTAGTGGTGGACGTACTGGAAGACCTGGCAGCCCCGGCACTCTGGGAAGACCTGGCACAGTTGGAACAGCAGGAAGACCCGGAACAGGAGGAACACGCGGAAGACCTGGAACAGGTGGATCTGCAGGAAGACCCGGAATAGGAGGAAAACGCGGAAGACCTGGAACAGGTGGAACTGCAGGAGGACCTAGAACAGGATCCGGAAGACCGGGAGGCGCTGGAGGAGTTGGGGGACAGAGAGGCAGCAGCGGACCGGACGGTGGCGTAGGACCTGATGAAGGATTCCCACAGGGAAGCCGGGGTCCAGACGGATCGCGAACTTCACCAACATATCCATCTGGCCCAACAAGTCCTCAGCGCAGGCCTACCGGATCAACCATACCAAGCCGCAAGCCTGAACCGGACAGAGGAATTGACAGAGGTTCAGGAGGACCTGGGTATGGTGATGGATCTGGAAGGCCAGGATCAGGTAGGGGAACTGGAACGCCTGGAACTGGTGGCGGATCTGGGAGACCTGGAACTGGTAGCGGATCTGGCAAACCTGGAACTGGTGGAGGATCCGGAGGCCCTGGAACAGGAGCTGGATCTGGAGGGCCTAGAGGTGGCGACGGACCTGGATCACCTGGTACTGGTGGGCGGCCTGGATCGCCTGGTACTGGTGGGCGGCCTGGATCGCCTGATACTGGTGGGCGGCCTGGAAGTTCCGGCAGTCTTGGAAGACCTGGCATAGTTGGAACGGCAGGAAGACCCGGAACAGGAGGAACACGCGGAAGACCTGGAACAGGTGGAACTGCAGGAAGACCTGGAACAGGATCTGGAAGACCAGGAGTTGCTGGTGGATCTGGAGGAGTTGGGGGACAGAGAGGCAGCAGCGGACCGGACGGTGGAGTAGGACCTGATGGTGGATTCCCCCAGGGAAGCCGGGGTCCAGACGGATCGCGAACTTCACCAACATATCCATCTGGCCCGTCAAGTCCCCAACGCAGACCTTTTGGATCAAGGACACCTAGCCGCAAACCTGAATCAGGAGTGGACAGAGATCCAGGAAGTCCAGGAACGGGTTCTGTTTCTGGAACACCGGGGATTGGAGGAAGTTCTAGAAGACCTGGGCTGGGTGATGACTTTGGCAGACCAGGATCAGGTGGCGGAACTGGAGCGCCTGGAACTGGTGGCGGATCTGGGAGAGGTAGCGGATCTGGCAGACCTGGAACTGGTGGCGGATCTGGAGGCCCTGGAACAGGAACTGGAGTTAGAGGGCCTGAAGGTGGCGACGGACCAGGATCATCAGGTACTGGTGAGAAGCCACAATCACCAGGTACTGGTGGACGGCCGGGATCACCAGGTACTGGTGACCGGCCTGGATCACAGGGTACTGGTGGGCGGCCTGGATCATCGGATACTGGTGGGCGGCCTGGATCGCAAGGTACTAGTAGGCGGCCTGGAAGACCTGGCAGCGCCGGCACTCTGGGAAGACCAGGGACAGGAGGAACACGCGGAAGACCTGGAACAGGTGGAACTGCAGGAAGACCCGGAATAGGAGGAACACGTGGAAGACCTGGAACAGGTGGAGTTGCAGGAAGACCTGGAACAGGGTCTGGAAGACCGGGAGCCGCTGGTGGATCTGGAGGAGTTGGAGGACAGAGAGGCACCAGCGGACCGGACGGTGGAGTAGGACCTGATAGTGGATTTCCTCAAGGAAGCCGGGGTCCAGATGGATCGCGAATTTCACCAACATATCCATCAGGTCCATCAAGCCCCCGACCTAGACCTTTCGGAGCAAGGGTTCCAAGCAGTAAACTTGAATCTGGCAGTGAAGAAGCTGACGAGGTTTCCGGAAAGCCAAGTTCTGAAGACCCCGAAAGTGGCATTGGATCTGATGCTGGGTCTGGAAGGCCTGGAACAGGCACAGGGTCAGGAAGACCTAGAACAAGCACAGGGTCTGGAAGACCTGGAACCGGAGCAGGATCTGGAAGACCTGGAATCGGTGGAGGATCTGGAAGACCTGGAGCAGGTGAAGGGTCTAGAAAGCCCGGCACAGGTGGAGGGTCTGGTAGGCCTGGAGGAAGTGGCGGAACTGGGGCATCAGGAAGCCCAGGCTCAGGCGGAAGAGTTCGAAAGCCCGGATCTGGAAGCGGATCAGGAAGGCCTGGAGTTGGTGGTGGCGTTGGGGGGCCAGGATCCGGAGGAGGATCGGGCAGACTCGGTTCCGGCGGCGGATTTGGAAGACCAGGCGCCGGGGGCGGATCTGGGAGACCGGGAGGCGCTGGTGGATCTGGAGGAGTTGGGGGACAGAGAGGCAGCAGCGGACCGGACGGTGGAGTAGGACCTGATGGTGGATTCCCCCAGGGAAGCCGGGGTCCAGACGGATCGCGAACTTCACCAACATATCCATCTGGCCCATCAAGCCCCCAACGCAGACCTTTCGGTTCTAGGCAGCCGTCAACTTCAACTTCACCGGATAGATTTGGCAGCAGCAGGCCCGACCGTGTTCGCCCCGCGGTTCGCAGACCCGACGGACTGGACCCGGACGCTTTCCAGGTCTTCGGTGGCTCACCCGGCTCTCAACTTCCTGGTTTTACCAGGCCCAACGAACCGACAGATGAGCCAGGAGTGCGGCGGCCTGGGTCTGAAAGACCTGGGAGAATAGGCGGACCTGGTCGACCTGGCAGCGGAACTGGAGCTGGTGGTCCTGGAGGGTCTGGTGCATCCGGAAGGCCTGGAGGATCTGGAAGACCAGGAGTGGGCGGATCTGGCGGGCCCAGAGGATCTGGTGGATCTGGAAAGCCTGGAAGTGGAACTGGGTCTGGTGGTCCTGGAGGCGGTGGTGGATTTGGCAGGCCAGGAGTAGGCGGGTCTGGAAGGCCTGAGAGTGGCAGCGGAGCTGGTAGTCCTGGAGGGTCTGGTAAATCTGGAAGACCTAGAGGATCTGGTAGACCTGGAAGCGGAACAGGAGCAGGTGGTCCTGGAGGACCTGGTGGGCCAGGAGGAGCAGGTGGATCTGGAAGACCAGGAGGGTCTATTGGATCTGGAAGACCTGGAACTGGAGCAGGTGGTCCTGGAA